TTACTCAGTTTTCCTCGTCTACACATAAATGCAAAAAATGAGTTTTCGAAAATCTCCACCCTCGCAGGCGTTTTAAAAAATCTCAGTTTTCAGTGACCAAAAACGCAGTTTACGTGTGGACGAAAGGTGCAAACGCATAGAAAAATTGGCATTTTCAAAAATACCCGGGTACGTGTGGACGTAGCCCAAGAGACAAGACAGACTTCACAGGAAGGCACATGTAACAAACCCAGACAAACAGGAGACAGCGACGAGACCAAGACATGAACGGCATGCTCTACATTATCTGATCATAATGAACAAATAATGTAGACCGAACAAAGATCAGAAGTTTCCCGATTTCTAAACTGAAAATTGCCTGAGTTCTGTTGTACAGGTGTTGTTGCCGCTGCTGGGCCTGGAGCAAATTCTCCCGTGAGAGAGTGTGTGCAACTTTGCTCTCAGGTCCAGCCCATACTGAACTTCAGTTTTTGCAGTGCTCGGACCCTCCTCCCAGTTTTCCTTAATCAGGTCGAGCACCCCCCGCAGCTTTCTGCCGTACAACAGTTCAAAGGGAGAAAATCCCGTGGAGGCCTGGGGCACCTCCCGCACTGCGAACAACAGAGGGTCTAACCAGCGATCCCAATTGCGTTCATCCTCGTGAATGAACTTACAGATCATGGACTTCAGGGTTTTTATTCAGCCGCTCCACCAACCCATCGGTCTGAGGGTGGTAGATGCTGGTCCGAACAGCTTTAATGCCCAACAACCCGTACAGTTCCCTCAGTGTGCGAGACATGAACAATGTGCCCTGGTCGGTCAGTATTTCTTTCGGAATACCAACCCGGGAGACAACCTGAAACAGTGCCTGTGCCACACTTCACGCGGAAATGGTGCGCAGTGGTATTGCTTCCGGGTATCGTGTCGCATAATCCACCAGGACTAATACGAAGAGATACCCGCGTGCACTCCGGTGAAATGGCCCGATGAGGTCCATACCGATACGGTCAAACGGGACCTCCATGAGGGGTAATGGGCACAAAGGCGCCTTCGGGATGGCCGGCTGGCTAACCAGCTGACACTCCAGACACAACGAGCATCGG